AGGATGCATGCATGCCCTTCCCTTACCCTAAGGAATAGCTGGACAGGTGTGTAAAATGTATATATGTGATGTTTATGCAGCTTTATTTGTAATAAAACAAGGAAAAACTTCCTTAAAAATAGAGAAGCAGTGAAATGAATTATGATCCACTCAACTGATAGAATACTTATAGTTGTTAGAATAATTACCTAAATTTTACTTGATTAACAGAAAAATGTGTTCATAATTGTGAGTAAAGGAGGCATAAAATGTACCTATATGTGTCATATGTATGTGTTTGCACTCATGTCTCCCCAAGAAGATCTGGGAGGATACATGACAGTATGAAAATATTAATAAGGTTTATCTCTGGGTGGTATCTATGAGTAATCTGTACCTATTTATTGTTTGCATATTGTAAAACCATTTGTAAAGACCGTATATTACTTTTATTTTTTTGGTTTTGGACCTCAGGTATAGAGAACTGAGTGCAGTTGACCCTAGAGTAACATGGGTTTGCCTGCATGGGTCCACTTAGATGTGGATTTTTGTTGGTTATAAAGTATTTTGTCTTCTTTATAACTTTTTAAAATATTGTCTTTCTCTAGCTTACTTTATTGTAGGAATACTGTACATAATCTGTATGACATACAAAATATGTGTTAATCATCTCTATATGTTATTGGTAAGGCTTCTGGTCAACAATAGACTATTAAAAGTTAAATTTTGGGGGAGTCAAAAGTTATACACGATTTTTGACTACAGTGGGGAAGGGGGTGTCAGCACCCCAACTCTGTGTCGATCAAGGTCAACTGTATTAACTTCCTGGTTCACAACGTACTACCGTTGTCGGTTTAAATAGTGCCCCGTTCTTGTTTTATTTTTTTTAAGATTTTGCTTATTTGAGAGAGAGAGAGAGAGCATGAGGGGGAGAGGGAGAGTGAGAGGAACAAGCAGACTCCCCACTGAGCACAGAGCCCGTTGTGGGCTCCATCCCAGAACCCTGAGATCATGACCTGAGTAGAAACCAGGAGTCCATGCTTAATGGACTGAGCCACCTAGGAACCCTATTTTGCTTGTTTTTAATCTTTGATATACTTGAATTACTATTAATCCAGATCAAACAATAAAACTTGTATAAAGGGATCAATCAAGGACCTTCACTCAGAAGTCTGTAAGAAGAGGAAGGGTGTCAGATTCTAGCTACACCACTGTCCAGGGATGAATTGTCAACTGTTCACCTTCTCAGCTGGTGTGAGGGGCCAGAGATGGGAATAGTTGCTAGTTTGTCTTTGGAAAATTTGGGTTATAATTCCAGCAAGACTCCAACTACTGAACTTTTGGGCTTTGTATAATGCACTGCCAAGACTGGTCATTAACTCATGTGGAATCAAATAAGAAGACCTGGCATCATGGCTTGGATCTGTGTTATTAGTTTTCTAAGGTTGCCAAAATAAAGTACCACACATCAGGGGGCTCCAACAACCGAAATTTACTATCTCACCGTTCTGGAGGCTACAAGTCCAAAATCAAGGTGTTGGAAGTTTGGTTACCTCTGAAGGTTGTGATAACCTGTCCCAAACTTCTCTCCTAGTTTCTGGCAGGTGTTTCTTGGATTGTAGAATGCTCTCTCTCTGTACTTTTCCTTCGTCTTCCCTGTGCGTACTTCTGTCTCTGTCCAAATTTCTCCTTTTGGTAAGAACAGAAGTCATATTTTATTAGGGCTTACTCTAATGACCTCATCTTGATTACCTTTGGTAAGACCCAATCTCCTAACACTTTTTAAAAAAAAATTTACTTTAAAAAATTTATTTATTTATTTATTCGACAGAGAGAGAGAGAGAGATCACAAGCAGGCAGAGAGAGAGGGGGAAGTAGGCTCCCTGCTGAGTAGAGAGCCCGATGCAGGGCTCGATCCCAGGACCCTGAGATCATGACCTGAGCCAAAGGCAGAGGCCTAAACCTCTGAGCCCCCCAGGTGCCCCTCTCTTAACACTCTTGAACTGTGGTGTATGTGCTGTGGTGGAAAGACCATGGGCTTTGCAATTGCACCTAAATTTCAATTTTGATTTTATCACTTACTGGTGGTATGACCTTGGGAAAGTTATTTAATTATTCAGGACTTATTTTCTCATCTGTACCATGGGGATGTAATGTTGCTATGAGATCAGAGATACCTTAGCATTTACTGGGTAAATGGAAGCTGTTTGTGTGAGTTGAGGGAGGGGGTCTTTGCTTTTAGAGGTTCAGTTCTCTGGATAGATACATCTGCCACTGGGTCTGATAGGGAGGGTCTCAGGTGACATTGGTGGACCTGGGCAACATTAAACTGGCTTTTCTACCAGAGTCCTTGCCTACCTGTGTTCATTTGTATGGAGCCAGTACCATTTACAGGTGACTTTTTTTTTTTTTTTAAGATTTTATTTATGTATTTGTCAGAGAGAGAGAGAATGAGAAAGTGAGCACAAGGCAGGCAGAGGGAGAAGCAGGCTCCTTGCTGAGCAAGGAGACTGATGTGGGACTCGATCCCGGGATGCTGGGATCATGACCTGAGCCAAAGGCAGCTGCTTAACCAACTGAGCCACCCAGGCGTCCCTACAGGTGACTTTTAAGGTGAAGCCTCCGTAAAACGAATTTACAGCATTCCAACCTGGACATGAGCATTCACTGATCAATGTTGTATAAAGCTGTCAGGCTGCAGGGGGGGGTGTTGGGGAGGAGTGGTACAGCCCCCTAGAAATATGGAACCAGCAATGCCTTCTATTATGTAGGATTATTAGCTCAAGATTCTGTCTCAACCGGATCTTCCAGATTGATTTGACAGAAGACAAGGGCATGTTTCCAGAGACATTGTCATATTTTTTTTTCCAGGTTACCTAGAAATTTAATTATGCAAGTCTCCTTTATTACCAGTAATAAAAAATTAACTCAAATATAGTGTTACAGGCTGCAAATGCTTGTGTTCTGCTCGATGTGACACTGTGGTGAATGGGCTGGGGTGGGGAGCAGGGACCGAGGAGCCAGTGAGGAAGGACTTGATTGTTTAAGTTGTGGAAGTGGAAGTGTCAGCTTGGGAGGAGTCAAGGTAGGATCTCTTGTCTTAATAGGGCCACCCTTGGTCACTTCTTTCAAAACCAAAGTGGATTTTAATTACACTACCTGGGCATTTTGGGCGGCAGTAATCCAAAAGAACTTTGGGCAACATGGAGAATCCGTCTGAAGTAAGCTATTTGCCTGACTACTTTTTAGCTAATTTATTTTAAGTTTAGTCTGATTTAAGGCCTGTGCTAATTTGAAATGTTGCCTTATATCAATGTTCTAATAACTGTAGGAGGAAAACACTTCTAAATCATTTAAAGCAAGTGTCTTTCCTTGAGTCATATAGGATAGAGACCAGTATTTATTACGGGGGCTTTTCTTCACACCTCTGAGATCCTATCTGTTGCTAATGTATTCCTGGACAGCTTAAGAAAAAGCTGGTAGGAACGCTATTATATGATGGGGAAATAAGCTTAGACATCAGTCAATAGATTAGTGACTTGGTGTAAAATAATATCTACATTATCATTTTCAGCATAACATTTGTTAAATGCCATTTTATCAGCCGTGGTACAGAGCACAATTCTTAGCCAGTGGTTGTCTACTAATTACAAAGTAGCCAGCACAGTATGGCTACTAGCATACCTAGATTTTAACGCCTGGGAAGCACACCTAGCGACATTTAATCAGGCAGGCGAGTAGATAAAATACAAATAAACGAGAGCCAGAATATTGAATGGTGGGCGAATTAAGAATCGGGAAGCTGAGCTGGCGCATCAAAGAGAAAACCAGGGAGTTGGGCAGCAAAGGTACAGTAAGAGCTCAGGAGGATTAATGTGAGGGGCATTCCGATCGGGAAGGAAAGGCTTCGCCGGAGAAGTGGGGAGGGGTTGAAATAGGTGGTAAAGCCTAAGAGAGGGTGCACAGCCTAAAAAAGTTTTTATGATGGTTCCGTGCATAAAATCTCATCGTTGGCATTGGTTGCTGCAAAAATGGAGAGGCAGGATTTAATCAAGGTGTCAGCCGCAGGGGCATCCCGGATTCGGGCTAAGCGTCCGGAATTCCTGAGATGTCTGAAACGCGGAGGCGGCCTCTTCCCCACCCCCGCCGCGGCCTCCGTGGGCATTTTCCGGCGAGGGGGGGCAAGCGAGCCCTTCGAAGAACAGTTGAAACGCGCGGCCCTGCGGTCTCCCTCCCGCGGCCGGCGCGCTCCCCGGAGATGAAGGTGAGAGCACCGGCTGCGGAGCCAGGGGGTGGGCTTCCCGGGTCCCCGCGCGGCCGCAGAGCCCCGTCCCCTCCCCCCCGGCGCGGGCGGGGCTGCGGGCGCACGACGCGGAAGCGCGGGGTTCCGGGGGCGGCGGCGCGCAGGCCGCGCGCGCTTCCCGGGCCGCAGTAGGCGCGGGCGCGGGCGCGGGCGCGGGGCGGGGCGCGGCCGGGAGGCCTGGGAGGCGGCGGGCGCTCGCGCACACGCCGGGCCGCCGCCTCACCCCTCCTTCCCTATCCTTCCCTTTCCTCTCTCGGCCTGGCCGTCCCCCTCCTCTCCCCTCCCCCGAGCGAATCACGCGCCCTCCTCTGACACTCGTAGCGGGCTCGAGCTCCGAATTTATCCTTCACGTGACCTGAGGGGGTTGGGTGGTTGGTTGGGGACGTAGGGGGAGAGGGAAAGGAGGGAACGGAATCTGCCGTTGCCCGAGCAACAGGCCCCGCCCGCCGGCTTGGGGCCGGGGGGCGGGAGGAGGACGTCAGCACGTCAGCCGGGGTTTTGCGTTTTGATTGACAGTTGCTATAGCGACCGGGTCGGTCCGTCGCCATTTTGTTGGTTGGTTTTTTTTTAAACCCTTTCGCTTCCCGCCCGAATAATAATAAAAAGCCCCATTGGAGTGAGGCGGGGGTGGCGGCGGCAAGAGCGGCGGGGGGATCCGGGGAGACTGCTGCCGTCGCTGCTGCTGATCGCGGCCCAGGTCGGGCTCAGGGAGCGGACACCTCGAGCGGGGGGTGCGGGCGCCGCCGCCGCCACCGCCGCCGCTTCTGCTGCTGCTGTTCCTGCTGCTGCTGTTGGTGCCGCTGCCGCCGCCGGCGAGCGGGCGGGACCGGTGTGAGTGTGAGGGTGTGTGTGTGAGTGAGCGTGTGCGAGGGCGAGTGTGCGTGCGTGTGTGTGTGAGTGTGTGTGTGTGTGTGTCTGTCTGTGCGGGGACTCGGGGGCGGGCGGTTCGGGCTCTCCTGGCGGAGAAGCCGCCGCCGCCGCCGCCGCCGCCGCTCGGGCCCCGGCGCTTCTCGCTGCGCAGGTTTGGAGCGCGCGCCATTTTGTGAGATTTACAAAATCCTCCTCGGGAAGAAGCCGCCGGGAGCGGCCGCGACTCGGCGCCCGGCCTCGCCGTCGCCGCCCTCCGCGCCGGGCCGGGCCGCGCGGCCCCGCCGCCGGGAGTCGGGGTCCGGGGACTGCGGTATTTGCCGGGGAGGGGGCTGTCGCCTCCTCGGCCCCGGGCGCCGCTGGAACCGCGGAGCCGGAGAGAGACTGAGAAGGCTGCGGCTCGGCCGCGGAGCCGGGAGCGCCGGGGGCGGAGAGAGGCGGCCGGGGCGGCGCTGGCTGCGGAGGCCGCGGCGGGAGCGCAGCGGCGGGAGCCCGAGGCTGAGACTCACCGGAGGGAGCGGCGCGAGCGCCCCGCCATCGTCCCGGTGAGTGTCCGGCCCGGCCGCGGCCCCGCCCGGCCCGGCGCCCGGCTCCCCCCGCGGCCTGCAGCCGGGCCCGCGCCGAGGCCGGCCGGGCGGAGGGAGGGACCTGCCATTTTAGGAGGAGGCGCCGCGGCCCGGGGCCGGCCGCCGGGGGAGGGAGCCCGACAGGCCCGGTCCCGGAGGAGAGGCGGGTGCGAGCGGAGGGAAAGTTGCGGAGGGTGGGAGCTGGGGCCGCGGCCTCCCGGGAGCCGGGGGCATGGGGGCCGGAGAAAGCGCCAGACCTTCACTGGTCGCCCGAGCGGAGGGGAGGAGGTTGTCTTCCTCCTCCTCCTCCTCCTCTTCCTCCTCATCCTCTTCCCCCAGCTCCTCCCTCGTCCCTCCTCTCGGTCCCCACCAGTGTGGGAACCTTGTTCTCCGCAAGGACAATGCACGGGTTAAGAAAACGGGGCTGGCTGCTGGGCGAGGCGCCGGGGAAGGTCGGGAGCCGGGTCCCTCAGCGGCCCTTTGGGGTGTGTGCTGGAGCGAGGGCACTCGGCGTGCTCCGAAGTTGTGCAGTGAGTGCAAGTGATCCCGGCCAGTGGAGGTGGAGTAATGACCTGTTTAGCAACCGGAGGAGTTGGTGGTTGAGAATGCGTAAATTATAATTGATACCTGGCTATTGCAACAAAACTTCACAAGTCTATTTACAGGCGCAAACCCGCTCTCGCTTAGATCCACCAAAGCTGCTGAATATCTTAGCGCCTAGGGAAAGGCCCCTCCCTAGCCTGAAATAGTTAAAAATGGCAAAATCAGTGAGTGATTCCGACTACTGGTCTGTGCTTTTCGTCCAACCCTAGATTATACGAACCTTGTAATCTAGGTGCAGCCCTTGAATGCCAGCACCGTTTGGTTTTTGAATTCTGCCCAAGTTGTCAGGGTATACCCTCTATAGCATTTTTTCACACGGATTTTTTAAAGATGAGGACAAAGAGTGCCAGGCAATCTTCTCAGGGCTTCACATGTATGAACTCGCATTTCCTACCGGTAGGAACTGTTAACCCATTTCACAGATGAGGAAACTGAGCCGTGACTCATCCAAGGTCATACAGATGGGACTCCAGGAGCCAGAGTCTGTAGCTAGCCTGGGCTCATAATCACTAGGTTATAACTGATTATTATAAACACTGGCAGATTTGGAGCGATCTGTGTGTAATGACTCAGGGTTCTAACCTAGAGATTGTGACCCTGACAGTATTGAGCATGGAATTAACTTTGTCGTTTGTGGAAATGGAAAGATGGAAAAGAGGCCCCTCTTAATGAAACTTGTCATTCCTCCCACCCCCCAAACTATGTGGACAGTTACTGAAGAGAAGGAATTAAAAGATATTTCTTGGTGCGTTTTGTTCTTAACACTTAATTTTAATTGTAGGCACTGCTTAAGTATTGATGAGTCATAGCAAAGTTTTGTGTAAAAGTTATTTTTAGGCATTTAAAAATCTTTGAATACTTAGATTTCCTGTATGACCCCTTGTGCTTTACATATACAAAGAGTTTAAGAATGGATATATTTAATACTTTGATTTTGGGGAGTTTTGTTAAAATTCTTAAATTCTCACATCTTGATTGTTTACCTTGAGCGAGTATTTTCAGATAGACTGTAAATGTGACACTAGAACTGAAATTTCTTGTGCTGAGATTTTAAACTGAAGAAGATAGTTTCAAAGAAACACCAGTTAAGAAAAAGTTTACTTGGTTACAGTTAAAATTTTTAATGTGCACATGACTTATACTTCAAGTACTCCAGTGCTTTTGGAGGATTGGTCTTGAAATAGCCCTGGTGCTTACGCTGGCTGCCCAAATTCATTTAGAGTTCAAACCTTATCAGAAAGTTAAGGACTCCTGTTAACATGTTTACCAAGTTCTATTCTAAAACAGTATAAAAAGTTGATAAGAGGCATAAGCTCAGAAATTAATTATTCTGGGGTCACCCGTGTCTAAGGGGAAGGCACACTTGAAAATTTAAAAATGATTTTGATTCGAAGGAATAGACTTGAATGAATGGATGGTCATTATTGGTAGGGGTGGGAAGTGGATTGAATGAGCTAGTGAGATCTTTGTTATTAGGAGTTTGTAAAATAGGTATAAGACAGCTTCTTAAGCATATTTTAAAAACATTTTGGTGGAACCTGTTAGAAACTTAAGAGCTAGAATTACTGTGTGCTTGAATTAAAAAAGTAATCAGTCCAGTCTTTAGGGGAACTAACATTCAAAATAAATGGAAATATTCCATTTTAATGCAGTGTCTTGTTTGGAAACGTATATAGTGAAGAAAACCCTTGGTTACATACTTTTCCACCTCTAGAATGTTGTTAGATGTTTGTCCTGTTAGTTTTAGTTATGGAGATTTACTGTGTTTATGATTTAAAGATGGGGTGTAGGGAGTGCTAAGTGCAGCAACTGGTAGTTAAAGAATTTGCGTACATAGGTTTTTATAGTACTATGAATATTGCCCTGCAAACGCAAAATTCAGGATGACTTACAACCAAGGTATATACAGTGACCTTTGGTATGCATTTTGTTTTGAAACTAAAAGAAAATGCTAATTTGTATCAAATCTTGGGTATTACTTGAAAACTTGTTTTTTTAAAAAATAAGAATTAGTTTAGCTAGTTAGATTACTCTGGGGTGTTTTCATGTGTGTTTATGGTTGGCAAATACCTAGTTTTGGGAAGAAAATTTGGAAAGAAGTAGCATTATTATGAGTGTGAAGGGAATTGCCTTATATATGAGACTAAGAGTAAGGTGCATAGAAGAGGGGGCTTCATTTGTGACTTTCTTGGCACATGTGATAAAGGTGTCCTTGTTTCTGCTTTAGCGTTAGCTTCTCTTCCTCAAAGAACTTTCACATTTCCTACACCCACACCCCCAGCAATTTCTCTCATTCCTCCAAGAAAGAAATGAACCATCTGAACCCAGCACAACCCGAAAACTTCCAGGAAGAGTCCTTGTAAAGAACTTAGTTCTTCCCTCACAAAATTTTATTACTCTCACCATTTTGTTGTATTCCTTGTAGTAGTTTCAACTGTGAGCCAAGAGCCTCTACTTTCTGTTGAATGTTTTGATAGTTTTACATATTTTCTATATAGAAGTAAAGCTACTACTGAAGTCATCAAACATGGACCCCTGAAACTTGGTATAAACACAGTTTGCCCTGTCAAAGGTATTGTATAACTGACTTAAGAGCACCTTATGTATACATAGTGATTATGTTTTTAAGAAGGCTTCTTACCACATATTATTTTAACCGTTGGACAATGTTTCAATGGCTAGAGAAGTTGTAATTCATAATCTGTGGCTTGCACAATTTTTGATGAAAAATTTAGGGGGATGTTGCAAATTTTTAATTACTTGGAAAACATCAGATTATTTTAAGTTACCTAAAACTTCTCCTCAGTTGGCCCTAAATGAAGAAATCTTTTGAAATCTTGCCTGCAATGTTAAGCTAGAGCCGTAAAGTTTATTGTTGGTTACGTGAAAATGAGATTTTGGGTTCACGGGAAGAAAGTAATTAATCTAAGGTTTATATTAAGTAATTAAAGGCAAGTCTTGTTTCCTCTTAGGGGCTACAGGCAGCTTAGTTTTTTTTTTTTTTTAATTATATGAAAAATGACATGATTTGGAAGTATTGCATTGTGTAGGCCAGCTAAATGTTTTTCAAAAGTTATGCTTTGGCTTTGAAATCCTACTTTCTGAATTGCATAACAAGGTAGAATTTTCTATTGGAGGTGATAACTTACAGTACATTGCATATCTAGAGTGTGATGTGGTTCCTTGTAGACATACTTTTCGCTAATGTGCAACCACTTGGTCTTTTTGACTCTTGATTCTTATACCAGAGCTACATACCCTCTCCTCTAGAAGGGGATTTTTAAAGTTTATGTAATACTATTAAAGTTTTGACAACACATTTATTTTTTGGTTGAGGGACATATGCATGTATCTAACATACATGGTGCATGATAGCTTAAAATAGATTTTTATTCTTGATGAATTGTTGTGAATTTTATGTTCCCATAGTTAAAATGGTTGTATAAATCAGTGTGGGAGGAGCTTAGGAACTGGTTTAACATGGAATGAATCTGGTTTTCAACATCACCTCTATTTTACACAACATCCCTGTTCATTAAACAACCCTGTAATTTTTCTAAGTATATCAGATTTCCAATGACAAGAATTTAATCTTTTTTTTTTTTAAGTTTTATGGATATTTGTGGCTAGAGTTGGCATCCTCTATGTGTTTTGTAATATGTAATATTTGTAATATGTATATTTGTAATATTTGTAATATGTAATATGTGTTTTGGTAAGAAGATGCTGTGATACCCATCCAAAATCTGCATAATATCTAGTTGTAGATGGCAGTTAAGGCAGCGTGATGCTGTAGAGAGAGTACAGGCCTGTGAGATGATGCTGGGCAGAGGCTCCAGGGTCAGGCAGATCTGGAGTCTCAACAGGGCCTGACACTCGCTGGCAGTGTGATTTTGCCAAGCATTGCTTGCTTTATCTGTAACATGGGGTTGGTGGTGCTTACCGTAGGGCTCTTGTGAGGATTGAGGTAACATATACATTTCTTATAGCCTCCTCCTCTCTGTTCTCCCTTTTTCTTCCTCTCTATTCATACTCATCCTTGTGGTCCCAGGATAAATGCTGCTTCTTGAGAGAGGCTTTCCCCAAAACCTCAGTCTAGGTAAGGGTTCCTTAGCTATGGATTCTTATAGGACTCTGCTTTTCTTTTTTTTTAAATAGCTGTGTAGTTAGTCATACATATTAACAGATAGACTTAATGTCTGTGTCTGTGAAGTCCATCTAGACAGGAATAATTCTTTTTTTGATCATGCTTCAGGACAGCAGGGGTAGATAAGTGTGTATGTCCACAGAGGATGGAATGAAGAACCTCTACGCCGACTCCTGTCCTAGTACCACTCCATAATTGTGCAGTGTTGGGTAAAGTCGCTTCTCTGGGC